AGGACTCAATTTAACAGGGAGTAAATCACAGTATTGGAAAAGCTGTTCAAGCATTGACCAATCACACGAGGGTTTATAAACACCGACGAAAGAGTATGATTTAGATCGTATTATAATCAAAAACTTTCTTGGAAGAGTTGGAAGCAAAAATTGTCATATGTGATCGGAAATCATGGATATTTCTGGTAAAGTTGCTATAGTCACTGGTGGTGCTCAGGGAATTGGACGTGCTGTCACCGAATGTTTACTGAAGAAAGGGGCCAGGGTAAGTTCTAACACTTGTGTTTATCGACAGGTACAACATACAGGTTACTGATTCTGGTTAAAGTTACGGGTTGTTCTCGATAATTTTTTGGCACAATTCCAGAAGCCGCAACTACACACGAATGGTGACGTCACAAAATACATGCCCCCCAAATCGGGGTAGTTTTTTCGGCATATATGAATTTGATAATAATATAATAAATCCTAGCTTAACAGTTAAACATAACGATCATATAGTCAGTCCAGTCAGGCTGCAAAATGGCCGTGTGGTTGAAACTAGGTCATGGCGTGACGCCCGAAGAAGAGTTTTTAGACCTCATTCAACACTCACAAAATCACGATAAAACGTAGAGGTGATCGCATATTACGGCATGTCAAAAAAAGGGTTTGAATCCCACTAGATAAACATTCACCGGAACCGAAGTAATCGTTACGGATTTCCCATGCAACTAGTTAATCGGGACATTGAAGAAGTGTTTTAAAATGATCATCACTCAACAATCAACTTTATGGCGTGGTATACAAGTGTGCCTTCGAGTAAAACAAATTTTGCTTGAAAAGGCAGTGGATTCGAGGCCCGCACTGAACTACCGTGAATAATAAATCTCACGAAACTCCACCATGCAAAACTAAATGAATAAATAATAAAATAACTTACGAATTCAACTGACCGTGTTCAACAGTTATCAGATCGTGATAAGAGAGAAACCTAAGTCAAGGTCAGTTTTGTTAGAGATTAAAGTGTCACTATTCGTGCCCTATATTACGAAAACAAATCAGGCAAAGACTGATTTTCTTTCGTATAATTGCTAATTGAGGGTTCGAATTCATGGTTTAGAAAGTTGCACAATTAAATCAAATATCCAATCATATCAGTATATTTAGTTCTTTATTTCAAAAAACTGCAATGACGAAACGCGATTTTTTTACACAAAAATAAGTCTCAAATATTTATTGATATATTTATTCTCTTAATTTAACAATGAGTAATGGTACAAAATAATTAAACGCAAATTGTTTATACCAAAATAAGTCTAAAATATTTGTTGAAACATTTATTCTCTCAATTTAACAAATTGTAATGGTGAAAATTAATTAAACGACAGGTATTTACCCGCAAATACATGACCAACATTTGTAGATACATTAATTCTCTCAATTTAACAGCTTGTAATTCAGGAAATTCTGTTTTACCACCACTTTTTTATATTTGACATCATTCCAAATTACCAGCAGACATTGTACAAGAGAGTATCATTATTGAGATACAATTATCTCAATGGGATGAGAAAAGTCACAATATAAACAGGAACGTGTCTTGGTATTATGATTTGGGTCGGGTCAAGTATGGCAACACAAATGGCAAACACCATATTGGTTCATACACTAAAGGGTCATGACGTACATATAGTTTAGACACCAGAAAGCACCAAATTGGCAGTAATAATGACCAAATAATTGAAATATGTAGTATATATCTATATATAGATATATACTCTTGTCATTGTCTTGTGCGACACTTGTGTGTTTATTGATCAGAAGACCGGCGACTACCACTACCAAACATGGTTCAGTGAATTTATACAGGCGTATACAAATCCTCATGGTACGGAGGGCAGTGTTGGAAACTCCTACAAAAGATATGAAATATGTTAAAGAGATTTACAATATATTAAAAACTCAATTCCAAACAATAACATAATGCAACACAAGTAAATACTGCCTCCAATAAAAGCAAGTCAAAGCAAGTCGGAGTACGAACATCTGCAAATCACATGCACACGACCAATGGACACAGGAATAATTGCTGCTATCACAGTGGGTCCCTTATTTTATATTAACCCTAAAGATTGCTAATTCCCCCCTTTCTAACTACCAAAATAATATATCGACCCTTCTAGAATGTATTTGCCCACAAATTAATGAACATTCATGAGCACAGTAATTGCCATGTCATGAATAAATAAGTATAATTTAAAAAAAAACATGCATAATCTGGGATTATGTCCAATGTTTTACAAGACTGTTCATGTGTAAATGTCGCCGTGTTAGTGCATAGGAGTCATGACGTGCTCCCTACACAAAATGTTTTATTTATATCTCGCTCTATTCAAACGATTAAAGATCACACTATTTCCATCTCCACAGGCGGCATTAACGTTCCTTGTTGTTAAGGTCGTAAATAGAAAATAAATTGACCCGAGTCAATATTTCAATAAAAATGCTATATTTTGCATGGGAATGAATACTTAAAGGAATAAACTGGAGCCTATAAACCAGAGCAGTGTGCATTATGGATTTATGAGTAAACCGAACCTGTAATTAGCGTGATGTACCTGCCATGTGTCTGGCTTTGCTGGAAATAAGAGGGGGGGTCATTATTTCGTTGTAAAGAAATGAGAATGAACACAATTTATAATGGAATTGACTATTTGACAAATGAAAAAATGAAAAGCTTGATTAAGAGTTGTGTATGCCGAAAAAGTGTCGCTTAACCTTCTAATGGTCCATCCTAAATATGAAGGAAGAATGATTCAAGATATTTATTATGGATTGAAAAAAAAAAACTTTCACATTTGTCGAATATCCCGTGTAATATTTGACGTTTGTTCTGTTAAAATTCTATGATAGCAAACATTAATCAAGGTCGGGGAGATGATCTTTGAGAGTTGTTGTACAGGCAAAAGATAACTTCACTCATTCGATGAAATAAAAACAAAAACATGTCAGTCAGTTACTAGACGACCCATTGAGTTTTGTGGGGAACAGTGATGGCTCATAATCGGATTATACATGTAGTTTTTGCTTAAGGGATACGTTTGTAAAATGTATACATAGAGTACCATTGTTTTTGCTGAGAGAAATATTGACCATTATAAGAAAACACATATTTCCAAGTCCTCCTAAATAAATTCTGACTTTCCGATCGCAGGATGTTTCCGTGTTAATAATGCACAATTATTACACATACACAAATATGACTGTCTGTTTGTCTTTAACAGGGTGTTACAATTGCTGATGTGCATGAGCAGAAAGGTCAAGAAACTGTCAATGAGTTCAGCCAGCAATACGACAATGAAAGAGTCACGTTTATGTATGCTGATGTCACTTTGAAGTCACAAATGGAAGGTGCGCAGTTTTTTCTGTCTGTCTGCATTTCCAGTCTTCTATATTATTAAGACTACTTTACTATTTTACACGATTAATAGTTGCTTACTGAAGAAAGCAGAAGTTGCGGTTTGATTCCATTCAAAGGTGGTGGGACTATCATGATTTATATTTCAGTCAGTTTGACAGTGATTGTCATGACATATACTGATAAAGGTTAATGACAAGACCAGATGGCGAGCTGGTCGAAATCAACCAAAAACATCTTATGACTCTGCAGTTTTTAAGATACAAGACAGTAGCTGTAATTCTAAACCAATGTTGTTTGCGAGTTTAAAAAAGGTAGTATCTTGGTGGAATGTTAGTGCGAGATTATTACCCCATCAATATTAGTTAGTGTTGACAATGTATAGAAATGTTTTCTCTAGACAGCTTGACGAGTAATTAATTGATTATGATGTGTAAAACTTTCATGTGATTGGTTGTTTGTTGGAAGGCAAGGCCTTGGAGTCTCTTATACTGATTGTAATTGGTTAAGGGGTGACAAGAAATAAAGATGGATTTAATGCTGTCTCGGGTGAAAACCAGGGACTTGGCAGAGAATCGTTTTGGGAACATGAACGAAGCTTGTGTGTGTCTTTTGTCAGCCTAGCGTGGAAACGACCGAATCCCGGTTACCTAAGTGAAAGGTTTTTAACCATCAAAAATACCTATCACACCTGCTCCACGCGATGCACCTGCCTTCCTCATTCCGACTACGACTGGCACTCTTCATCCACTAACGCATCAAGCTTTCGCTAATCATCTGTCTTTGTTACTGAAGGCGATTGGCCTTGATCCAGCCTCATATTCCGGACACAGTTTTCGCCGTGGCGGTGCGTCATTTGCCTTCCAATCAGGGGCTGAGCCGGATGCAGTCAAAGCTCAAGGAGATTGGTCTTCTCAAGCGTA